CTTACTCTGAAAGTGGAGTGAGGATCAGCTGTTAATTATCTGGGTCCCACATATTCCCCAACAGAGGCATACCATCTGCACTCAATTCTGCAGCAATAAGAAAGGGACTGAGCAGGAAGGAACAGATCCAACCCTTGTGAACAAGCTCTCTCGCCCTTGGGGAAAGCTCTGATAATAAAGATTTTTTAAAGCAGTTTAGTTGCTGAAGGATCCAAATTTGCTTGGTACAAGAGCAAAATCAATATGAAGGGCCACACAGAGACTTCCAAGTAGATGTTTTCTGTCATAGCTGAAATAAATAGCAGTTATACCCCTCTTCTTCTTTCCCTTCAACACATGCCCACAACTGGTTCCTGCACTCATTACACTGTATTTGTCTTCTATGGTGACTAACATTCCCTATTCCCATGGAAAATTAACAGCACCACGCAATTCATGCAAGGCTGTGGTTGCAGAGTCATGCCTCAAACTGCTACAAGGTGCAAGCATCCTGCTTTTCTTACCATGCAGTTTCCAGGTAAGTGAAGAGCTGAAATTCAGAAAACAATCCTTCTTCATATGCACTGTGTAAACTCTCAATACCAAGAAGTGAACTATTTCAGAAAAGACCGAGGGAGATCTAGAGTCACCAACAAAGGAATCTTCAGCATAACAAAGCCTGTGTCCTGAAAAATCATCATGTGGATCTAATTCCAAGTGACCTGGTTCTCCTTCTCCCAAAAAGGATACTATTCTTGCCCCTTATAAATTTGACTGAGGACTTAATGTAGCAATTTGATGCCTCGAAGTAAATACATGGTTATCTGACTATTGTATGAGTATATTTCTGTATCTGCACTAGCAGACAGTAGCCCTGATGGGGTGTTTCCAGACAGAGGGCTCCTAGACAAAAGACACGGTGCAGGAAGATCCATTCTGGTTCAGTCCAAAGGCCTATCTAGTCCAGCACCATATCCACACAGTAGCCAACCAGCTGCCTGTGGGAAGCCCATAATAGAACATGAGTACAACAGCAACCTCCTGGTCATGTTCACCAACAAATGTGCATATACACATAGGCCCTCTGACACAAGACGCAATATATAGCTATAGGACTATAGGACTTGTAGCTCCTATTTTTTATTTATTCATTTCATTTCTATACTGACCAATAGCCAAAAGCCTCTCTAATAGACTTATCCTCCATGACTTTGTCTAATCACATTTGAAAGCCATCCATGAACTTTTTCTGGTAAGAAAAAAGATGGAACAGTAAACCACCAAGAGAGCTTCAACTACTGAATGATATAGAAAATAGATAAATGGAACAAGCAGAGGAAAAACCCAAGATGCTTACAAAAGGTGAAGACCTTTTTATTTAAGTGTCATTTTAATTGTTAATATTATTTGCTTATTTTATCTGGCCAGGGAGATTTATTTTATATTGTTATTTCTTGTATTTTAATTTTATGTTGTGAGCCGCCCCGAGGCTTTGGCGAATGGGGCGGCATAGAAATGTCTAAATAAATAAATAAATAAATAAATAAATAAATAAATAAATAAATAAATAAATGTTAAGACAGTCATCTAAACCTTCTATACAATTCTGCACATGAGGGAATGCAAGTTTTCAGTGAAAGTCTTATCTGGAAGCACCTACTGCATCAAGAACTATGGGGTGCTATTTGTCCCAGAGGGGTAGAAGTAAACTACCCAGAAACCCCTTCCCCCTTTTAATTAAAACTCCTATATGTACCGGTGGACAATGCCAATGGCTGGAAATTACAGGAGCTGTATTATAAAACATCTGGAGGGATGCTGTTACCTATCCATTGTGCCTGGTGAGGCACAGGACCGCCTGCCTCAGTGTCCCTCCTGGACGTCCCTTTTAGTGAAACAGTGCACAGGAACTGTGTTATACCAAGTCTGATCATTGGCCCATCTACCCTAGGACTGTGTATGACTGACAGTAGGTCTCCAGGGTTTCAGGCATGGGTCTTTCCCAATCCTAAAAAGAGATACTAGGAACAAAAGAATGGAGTTTTAACAAGCAAACTCTACCACTGAGATAAGGACCTTCTCTAAATATTACGTGGTTGAAGCAACATGTTTCATGTGGGTATAAAATACAATTTGTGACTTCAGTCAAACATGCAAGAGGGGATAAATGAGAAATTTATTTTTGTGGCATATTCTCTGATTTCTAAAATGGGAGAGGGGCTGAATAGTACACCAGAAAGCAGATTACACATGGTAAGAATTTAGGGCAAAGGAATTAGAGCCAAGCTGTGACCACTGGTAAACCCTTGGAATCCTAGAAACTTCAGGAGGAAAAAGATTCAGCAGAATTCTACACATCTCCTCAACACCAAGTCTAGCTCTTTTCAGTGGGGATAATTCCCTATCAAGTATATTTAGGACTATAGCCATTCCTTTGTGCAGAGTTTAAATACCCTAAGAGATGGAAAGAGTCATTGTTGAAAAGAAAAGAAAAGAAAAGAAAAGAAAAGAAAAGAAAAGAAAAGAAAAGAAAAGAAAAGAATGCAGTAGTTCTCCTACACTAGGACTCTTCCTATGAATCAGAAGACAGAGCAGCTGCAAGATCTGTCATGTCAAGTCCATGGCTAGACTTGTGGCTAGAAAACAGAGAGTGTCAGGGCCAATGCAAGCCTTCTATCTATCTCTATAGAAGAGCAGCTACAATAGCTCAGCAACAACCTGAAGAGCAGCGAAACAACAACAGAAGGCTGCATATTTTAAATTCAACGGGATAAAAAGTGTGAGGCCAGTGCATATAATTCTCCAAATGAGGAACAGAGTGGTCTAATCAAAATATTTGAAACTTTTATTTATAAAAGTATTATAGGGGGAAAAAAATCTACTTTCTGAACCAACTGAATATCTTGATTGGATTTTTTTTGGCCAAGGATGCAAACAAGCTTATCATCCTCTCTCACATCCACAGAAATTCAAATGGCAGAAATGGAAACAAGCAGCAGGAATCACAGGAAGTGAACATCTTCCAGAACTAGCACACATTCTGGATTTTTAAGGCTGAAAGTTAGAAAATGAATGTTTGAATCCAACTGGCTTCAGTAATCTAATATTGCTCAACCTTTCACAGCTTGTTTCATGTTTTGAAGGCTGTGATAGATTCATGTTTCTGTCAGGCAAACATCCAATAGAACCAGTGGTCCAATATGAGAAATTCATTGAAAGACCTGTGCTAGAAACCACAATCTAAGAGCAGTATCAGCATGCCTCAATCAATCCTCTTATGTCACACATTTAGAAACACTGACTCTTCTTAAAGAAACAGAGGAAGACTTTTTGAAACTCTGTAATGCAGGAAGAGAGCAAGCAAGCTGTAAGGAGAGGGATCTTTACAGACCCTTAACATTCAATGAGTTCATTTGGAACATAACCTCCAGGCCATGCCTGAAGTCCTCATGCTTCGGAATTAGTTTTTACAGAATCTATTAACATTTTGTGTTTAGCACTTAAGAAACTCAGCAGCTCCTCCACTCTGCCCATTTCTTTAGATTGTGTTTCAAGAGCTCTGGTTTTACAGCAGCCATTCCATCCTTTCATGTTTTTGAATTGAAGCACCAATAAATGACAATGCTCAAGAAAATGCATCACTTCCACATACTTTTGAGTCTTTATTACTGCTTCTTCATATATTAGAACACTTTCAAAATAAGTGCATTGGCTCAGCTAAGGCAGGAACTGTTTTGAACCTAGATATTATTTTGAATGATCTAGGAAATGAAAAAACTCTATCATGCAAATAAATCCCAAAGAAATGCTCAGAATGGAGGTACAAATAAAAGGCTGCATAATAAATTGAAAAGTTTATTCCAGATTACTCCAACAACAGCTCAAATCTGCATTCTGGGGTAGCTTTGTACCTCTGTTTAATTCACTCACTCCTTATGTTGCAAACCACCAAGTGGTGATCCAAATATCTCTGAGAAAATACAAGGCGTATTTGAAAATTCTGCCATTTATGTTGCAAGGCAGTTGTACAACACTACATTGATGGCCTTCTTGTTCTCATTCTGGATCAACTTCCCCAACAGTCACTTTGTTTCTGAGCACAATTCAAAGTGTTGACTTTAGCCTTTAAAGCCCCAGACAGCTTGAGACCAGAGTATCTCCAGGATCGCCTCTTCTCACACAAGCACTCTTGAGAACCTTGGTCAGCAAGTGGACCAAAACAGGGGTGGTATGGGGACTTGGAAACTGAATAAATAGCCCTTGGTGGAGCAAGAGAAAAACCTTTCTCTCCTGACCTTTCTCTTGACAGAATCCCCTGATTAATTTTTCCCACAACACTCCTTTATACAGGGAAAGGAAAGAAGGGATAGAAATAAAGGTCTTGTGAGTGTTCAGGAGTGCAACAAAATCTGCCTATCATTTCAGAATCAGGCAGACAGACTTGAAATAGGAAACCCTTGTCTTTCTCATCTGCTGGATGTATTTATCAATTTGACTGCTTCATCCCTAAGGTGGGAACACTTCCTTTTGACTAAAATTGTCAACTGAGAAAGTGATGAGAATGAGTGATTCTTAATCATGTATTTTTTTCTTGATACCTCAGAATTGTTCATCTTAGAAAAAATGCATCTAATATCAACAGCTACATCTAATAGCTTTTAGTGTTTCCTAACTCAGACATCAGCACTGAATAAATATCACATTCTCAAATTTCACCATGGACTTAAAATGTATCTCCGTCTATCACACTTCTCCAATCTATCTTCTCATTCACCCACAGACCTACAAACTAGTAATATAGTATTAACCAGTATTTTAAGGTTCAGATAGAGATTTTAAGTGGGTTTTTAATGAATAGAATGGATGCTGTGCTCCACTTTGTTTTATTGTAAGGCTATCCTGAGACCATTTGGTAGATGGATAGTATATAAAAGTTTTAAATAAAAACAATAAAAATAAAAATAAAATAGACATTTCCGAATGCCATATTAGGATTCCCATTCTAAAGCTACTTAGCTTACCTGACTGTCAAAGGTACAGGTCTGATGTCAGTGGTTTGTGTGTGTGTTTGAAAAGCCCAAAGTGAACTTCCTGGGTTGAGCGGTGGTCGAAAACCAGAAGAAGCTGCATTTATTCTGCTTACAGCTCCACTCATCAGATTTAAATTTGTTAACTGAAAAGAAAAAGGCAGGGCAGGGTAGGACAAATATGCAAGGCTTAAGGAAGCAGCAACAAAATGGAGTGGAATATAATACATTTGAGTGAAGTGGCTTTCATTGTTTAATAGATACAGTCTATACATAGACTCTTAAAGAAGCAATCCTATGGCCTCTAAACAGTGTCTGAATGGCCATAGGATAATTAAGATTCCTCAGCCTGAGGCTGGAAACAGTGCTCCAACCTTGGGGTGGGTGGGTGGGGAGATTTTGATCTCTGAACCCCCTCCCCATCCCTCACAGCTGGTGAGGAAAGAAAGGTCTTGGTGCTCTTTGAAGATGGAAAACTTGGAGGTGGGAGGGGCATTTTGGCGGGCAGGGAGGGGAGGAGACTGGAGAAGCCTGGATATGAGTTGGGTCTCCAACTTCTTTCCCTCCCATCTGATACATGCCAGCTTGATAGGCAAAAATGCCATGTAACATAAAATGCAAGAGGATACTGCCTCCAGTGCTCCTCCTGCCCTACACAGGATGTTTGTAAGCCTCTGAATACCGAGGCTTGAAATCACTGAGGACACAATTGATAGGATTATGCCCAAAACATCTATTAGCCTGTAACACCACTAAATAATTAGCAGACAGGAGAAAGAGGAAGAGGGAAATGGTAATCTATGACACCTGGGACAATCAGGCAACAACATTTGGCCTGTTGACCTGTGGCTTGACAATCTTGATTTAGAAGACAGTGGGGTGTAGCTGCAATGGAAATGACATTGGATCAGGAAGATCATCTCCATTCATACACAACCTTACTGGGTGACCTTGAACCAGTCACTATGTTTGACTGTAACCTATGTCACAGAATTGCTGTGAGGGGGAAAAAGCAGGGACTGATCTTGGGGGAAGGGTAGGACCAAATGTAACAAAACAAGTATTTAGAAACACAAGAGCTTTGCTTTGTGGAGTTTTCCTTTTCTTTCTATCAGTGTAATAGTAAGATGAATGACATAAAAATCTACAAGCAGAACTGTGTTTACTTGGATTTTTATCCAACCCCACCCTGCCCCAGGAGCTCAGGACTTGTTGCAACATTATTTAAAACCAGATAAACTCCACAAAACAACAGTACAATAAGATAGCTTGTGCTCAGCACCACTGCAATTTAGACCCACCTCCACAATGCTCTGACTCACATGAAACTTCAGACAAATGAAAACATCCATAACAGTTGACTACAAAGATTGCCTCCCAATATCCTTCCGCCATAGTAAAGCTGGCAAATGTTAGACCCTTCTGAGATTCAATAGCAGCAATGTCTTCAGTATGTTTGGGGAAGACTCACTACAGTAGCACCCAAACAATATGATAGTGTGATTCTGGAAAAATTCTCCTTCTTGGAAGATCACTGATAAATCACTCATTTGCACCTTATTTCTACTCCACAAACACTCTGCTCTCTATTGTGCAGCTGCTATACTAATCTTCCCCAATGCAAGACTCTTGAGATGTTTTGGATTTCTATTCCCAACAGCATGTTCAATGGTCAAGGATTATAGGAATTGTAGACAAAAATATCTGGAATGATCCAAGCTGGAGAAAGCTTTGCATTGTAACATGTAAATCAAAGTTGCTGGGTAGCTTTCCATGTCACACTAAACCAACCTGACAATAAGCTACATTATGCCCTAGGGTTACACTGAAGATCCTCAGAATCTGTCCCTCTTCAGTTTGTAGACTTCCTTTTGTGCTTGGCCCTGTCTTAGAAAGCATGCTGAGCCAAGATGAAGTCTGTGGAATTCCAGCTGTGCAACCAGCAATCTTCCACATCACATGCAGCACGAGCAAAGGATGCAGGTCTCATGTGCAGAAGAGAGTCACTGTTTGTACAGCGGTTGTACAGGGCTCAATTTCTGGCAAGAGCCACACATGCTCAGCATGCTCATCAGGAAGTCAGACTCACAGCCCCAACAAAGTGGACCAGAATCCAGGGAGCCTAACCCAGGGAAACCAATGGATTCTACCCGCTAAACTGATTACTCACCCATCCCTAGTATATCTTTACAAACCCAAAGGTGCTTTATTCTACTTTGCTTTTCCCTTGACAGCTGTCAAAAGGTGGACTGACAAGAGAAAGCAAGCCACAAAAAATGGAGTATACATTTCCACCTTCCTAAACATCCAGAATTTTAGGAATGGGTGGGTGAAAAAATTGGGCGCACTGTGATCTTTGTTAGAGGCACTCAATTTTTCCCCATTAAGAAGGGGAAATGGGTTACCTATTTTCTTTCAATCACTCACAGCTTTGCTTTCATTGACAACTCATCCTTCAATACTTATGTCAAAGCAATTTTTTAAAAAAAACTACTTGGAGCCTTTCTGGGTCAATGTCCTGGGTGGAACCTGGTTCACTCACAACAGGTATCCTTCAGGACGTTGCCAAGGTAAAGTTTCCCATTTTTAGAACCATGGAATTGTACACCTCCAGTTTTAAAAGTCTGACTAAAATAACAATTTTAAAAAGAAATTAAAAAAGAAAAAATGCATACATTTGAGGCCTAAAAAAACAGTGAACAGTCAATAACAACCTTTCCAGTGTGCTGCCAGGGCATTCTCGAGGGACTTGTCATTGGCTATCAATGACAAATGAAAGATGATGCACATGGTAGGTACGTCGTGAGTAGAGCCACCTAGAGCTAGAGGTCAGACTAGATGGCCTGGGAGACCCCTTCTGAGTCACTCTGTTTCTATGTTTCTATGATCACCTCAAAGTGCCGCTTGCGCACTTGTGGGACAGCTATCACTGGTGGTTTCCTGAGAAAGCTTGGCAAGAGGAGCAGGCCATTTCTGTTGCTCTTGCCAAGAACCCTATTTGCTGCTTTCTGGTACTGACAATGGGGGCTGATCACCCAAGTTCAGATTCCATGACACCCTATTATGGATACAACAGTGCAGTGTGGTGACTAGAGCATTTTACTGGGACACAGTAGATCCTGCTTCTAGTCCCCACTCTGCCATCAAGCTCACTGAGTGACTCTGGGGCTGTCACAGCTTAACCTCCTTCGCAGAGTTATTATGAGAACAGAATGGAGAAGAAACCTTTGAAAGCCACCTTGGGTTCCTTGCAAGAAGAAAGATGAGGTATAAATGTAATGGAATAATAATAATCCCCTGCAACAAGACTTATGGCCATCAAACAAGCCATCCCGAGGGAAGCAGTTGCACAGCATGACAACCCACTGTGCCTTATTACCCATGATCTTTTGTTGCATCTTGTGAAACTAGTCAATGACTCCAATTATATCCAATCAAGAAGGCTGAGGCTACTAAGAGTAGAATTGAGTCAGCAACTTAAACCATGGTTTAAAGTTGACTTAAGCCCCTAGCTTGTTCCAACCCTTGTAACTACACTTTCTTAGTTTGAATGTAACAGTGAATTAGGTAGAAGGTAATGAATTGTGGCACACTGATAAGGGTAGAAAAAGAAGTGAGCAACAGGCTCATATATTAAACTAGATATGTAGGATCAAACCAGGCTACACTCTCAGCATATCCAATCTTATAAGTTGTTCCAAAAGATAAAAAGAAACAAACTAAAGGACAGGATAAAAGGTAAAGGTAAAGGCTTCCCCATGACATTAAAGTCTAGTCATGTCTGACTCTTGGGGGTGGTGTTCATCTCCATTTCCTAGGCGAGGGAGCCAGCATTTGTCCAGACAGTTTCCATGTTCATGTGGCCAGCATGACTAAACACCGAGGTGAATGGAACGCTGTTACCTTCCCACCAAAGTGGTACCTTTTTATCTACTTGCATTTGTATGCTTTCGAACTGCAAGGTTGGCAGGAGCTGGGACAGAGTATGGGAGCTCACCCTGTCTGCGGATTCGAACTGTTGACCTTTCGATCCACCAGCCCAGTGGCTCAGCAGTGTAACCCACTGTGCCACTGCATCTCTAAAGGACAGGATACACATTATTAAATAATATTGTAGTCAAACAGCTTCAAACCTTATCTCATTATCAACCAATATGCAGCATAAGTCTCAAAAAACAAAACAAACAAAACAAAACAAAACAAACCTGGTATCCCAAGAAGGTCTCTGATTAAGAGAGAGGTTTTTAAAAATAAAGTCAAACTGGAACCAAAGGGGAGCAGAAAGTTGTATTTCAGTGCCTTGCACAGCTCTTTCCTCTTACCCCCACAATTGCCAAAAAATGACAAGCTTTATGAAAAACCTGAACATGGTATTACTCAAAACAACCACTATATATAAGATTTGTTTACTACATTTATTCTGACTGAAGAGTATGTGTTTCCTTAAATCAAAATCTTTGTTTTTGGGGATGCACAAAGCATAGCCAATCAATCATGACAATTTTGATTTCCAGTGATTTAGATCTGTATGAAGGGAGCTTAATTCAGACCTCTCCTTCCAGTATTAATATGATTTCAGCCAGCTGTATCACCATTCTATCCCATACTCCCCCTTCTATGCTACCTTGGTGCATTCCCCCCACCCCCGCATATCATAATGCTGTTTATTTTAAAGCTGTCTTTCCAAGTGAAGCAGGTGTGTAAACAGTTGACTGTGGCGGGTAAGGACATTTCACACATTCCATGTAGACAGGTGTTTAAATTACAGCAGAATTAAATATAGGCAATGAATTCAAAGGAGATCACACACACTGGAGTACATAAGGCTTATTTGAACCAATCTACCTGTTTCATTCATTTTGATAGTTAGTCATCCATGGATTAATTTGTTTCAGGTGCTATAATTAGCCTGCCAGCTTGATGGATTCCTTGGGTAACCCATAATACATTATGTATCTGTACAACAGGGCTCCTCTTTGAATTACCTGATACTGACAGTCCTTCCCAGTCAGCTGTTGTACTTGAGGCTGTCATGAGTATATGTTATGTACACTCTTAGTTTAAAGTGGGGTTGTTTGCATGTAATAGTGACAACTTGTAGGTTAAATGGCTACAACATGTGCTAGGTGTCATTTTGAATATTCAG